ATGATTGGACGAGATGATATAGAGCTGTACTGTGTAAATTAAAACTGCAACTATTATACCCAAATTGTAATAGCTAGTTGGTGCTTCTATTAAGATGGTATATCATTTACCTTTGGATACAATTCAGGCACACAAAATCTGGAGATATATCTGGTATATGATAATGAAAAACTATTTGACATTTCATCACATGATATAACAAGCACAGGAAAGAGTTTGACATAAATTACTGTAAGTTGAAATTAGAAAGTGGAGAAAGATGAAAGAAAAATATTGTCTGATAATCATGTAATAATGGTTGATGTAGCATGACAATTCTCCAGACAAGAAAAGAAAAGAAGAAAAAAAAAAAAAAAAGTTTTTACAGCTTAGGAACTTCATACTAAAGCTCCATACAACTTTTTAGAAACAATATTTACAAAACTATTCATCTACAACCTTTACTAATAAATGCAGAGAAAATAGAATGATTACTATTCTACCCGTAATTTCAGTATCAACAACCATGACAGTTCTTTAATCAGCAGTTATTAACTCATGTTTTTTGTTGAAATGTAATTACGGAACACAGAGTCTGTAATATTTCTCACATTCAGGTACACACAAAGCTATCATATTCCTAAAGTACATGGCCAGATGATTTCAGAAGAATTCATAAGTAATACAGAATCATAAAATTATATACTCATTTTGACTAACATCATATTCTCAAGCATTACATCCATTCTCTTAATTACAATGCTGTTATCACTTGCAAATATTTCACCCTAAACGCACAAAATGAGATATTTTTATCTTATCTAGAACTCTAAATCTTGAAACATCCTATTTTCCCACCAAGTTCAGGCATTAATACTGCAAATCAAGTAAAAACTGCAGAAGTCATAATTTCTAGAGTTTCTGCATTCCTTTATGTACCATTTCTTCTATATGTTATAATGTACTCTTAATCTAATGCCAGACTTGGACTTCTCAAAATATTAGACAAAAAGAATAGACAAACAACTACAATACCTAACTCATGCTTTTTCCATATTTCTCGACCATACAACTGCTTACTGATAAAGCTTTATGTTAAAATTCCCATAAAAGGGGAGTAAGTAATTGTGATTAATCAATTACATTTGTTTATGATTTTATGAGATGCACATATCACATACAAAAGACTAGCATCAGTAATTTTTAAAATGAGCATATTAAAAACATTTTAGCCTTAGTTTCAAGCAAATCAAATTACATTAAATAATAGTTATATTCATTTATAAAAAAAAAACAAAAAACATTCAGCATAATAGCTAGAGAACATAAGCATTACATAAATAGTAAGATGTATTTTTACATTACCTATGATTTATAGTACACTGTGATAAGATCACCTCTACCTTTTGGTTCTGCAATCACAATAAAAATATACACCACAAAGTTCTTCTCTACTGTATCTTATTCAGGAATACAACTAAAGTTAAACAGCTTTATACAACCATTTTTATAACAATGATGGGAAA